TTTTAATGTCTAAAACTTTTGTAACTTTCAATCATGCAGTCTACTCATGTCTCTGACTTTTTACTTTTTCTGGTAAGTCACCTCATTGTGAACATCACAGTGAAGTATGGTTCAATGAGGAGAGATCGTTAGACAGACCAGCAGTGACAGGGATAAAGGCAGGACCCACTCCACTCCAGCACATCGTTTGCATGGAGGTGACTGAGTGGGAGAACGACAGATGCACTCTGAGATTTTAAAGCACGTGAAGGCTGATCGGCCTGAAGACGGTCAGCAGAAAGCTGATTGGAGAAGTCACAATCGTCTTGACAGCGTGGGAAAGTGGAAGTGATGCAAAGCTTAGATTAGCTGCCAACACCTGGGAAACAGACGAGTGACTCTTCCTCATGGAACTTGCACATGAGCTTCATCGTGTTTATAAAAGCAGTGTGGACATGCTGGATCATCTGAACCCTGCAGGTGGTTTCTTTTAAAATAACACAGATTTGTGTTTGACGTGACTGACAACATCTTCTTCTTTGAAGCTAAACACAGTTTCAGGATTGATTCATCACTTGGTCAGTTTGATCAGATAAGAACAACAAACACGTTATTTATTCTATTTTTGGCAAAGAATGTTTAAATATTTAAATATATGGATTTCAATATCATGCATTTTTATTATAAATTATTTTTAGGTGCACAGTGTCTACGACAGTTATTTATTGTGCAATATTTATCAGCAATACATGAGTGAAAACACATCCAACAAATATTCATTTACACTTCATAGCCGAGAGCAGGGGGAACTCCAGGCCTCGAGGGCCGGTGTCCTGCAGGTCTTAGATCTCACTCTGGGTCAACACAGTTCATGTGCTGTGGTTCTCCAGGCCTCTGGAGAACCACAGCACATGTTGAGTCATTCAGTCATTTAAATCAGCTGTGTTGGATCAAGGACACATCTGAAACCTGCAGGACTCCTGCCCTCGATGCCTGGAGTCGGACACTCCTGGTCGAGAGAATGAAACTTGTAAAGCTGCACAGCAGTGCTCGCTGCTGCTGTCACCAACAGAGGGCAACAGTGCACCTGTTTGCTGTGGCAACAACGACACACTGTCAGTACAGCAGTGCCGAGGTGAGCATCTTTTGCCAGTTTTATATTCATACATTAAAAGAACTTTCTGTGCTGTTCTTCAGAGATTTATTGCAGGGTTGTTAAGAAGAACAATCTTTTTAGATTCCCTCCCATCAGCACAACAACTCACACCGACACATTTTTAAATGCAAACTTAATCTGTTTCAGGCCTCGAGGCCAAACTTTACACGTCGCAGTTTTTCATTGATCTAACAGTTTGCTGTTCTGCTCTGTGATGAGTGCTGCAGTCTCACAGAGCCATAAGAGGCTTTACTGCTGCATTAACTCTGATATTAACAGTTTATTCTTTCAGTTTCTTATAGTTGAAATGAGCCACCGTGCATCCAGTCACCTGGTGAGCTTTGCTGCTTAGTAGATCCAGCTCCTGTTCCACACTTGAGTGCTTAATAGATTATTACACTATAGGCACAGTGTGGATGCTTCAGTGTCGTGAACAGCTCCTGCAAATTCAGACATTAGACTCCAAGACAGAAAATAAGATTTTAGAGCAAATCTAGAATTTCTCAGCAACGACTGTGGTTTGGTTGGTCTGGTTTCCCACAGCGAGACCACCAGGGACCAACAGGGACCAACAGGGACCAGAGACAGAGGCCACGTTACCATAACAGCTTCACATCAGCGGTTCTCATCATGAGCAGGTCTTGAAATGAGTTAAATACAACCTGAACAAAACAACATCATGTTACACTCTGTCATTATATATTTAAAACTACACATTGATTGTGTAGTTTCATTATCAACCAAACCTGTAAAAGTTCTGGTAGTTTGAATTCAGTTGATCGTGCTACCTCAGAGCCACGGAGGAACGAGCACTTATCTTAGAGGAGCCATCGCTCCTTCCTATCAGTCGGGGAGAGGTTTATGGCCTTTTGCAAGTAATTTGAAATCCATCGCTTATAGTGAGAAAGACGAGATCAGAGGAAAATATTCATTCTTCTCACAATCTTGTGAATCTTCAGAAAATTCATCCTAAGTTCAGACGGCACCATTCTTGGAGAAATTTCCAAAAACAACAACAACAGTGAAACGACTCTTCTGTCTAAAAACATGGCAGCACAGTAAAAGTTTGAGCAAACTGTCAAACCTCAATGTGAGACCACATTTGGCCGTAACACAGTTTTTAGGGACTCAAACACTTCATATGAACTGTGAACCGCGGCTGTGGTGGAACGAATGGTTAGAAATGCATAAATGATGTAAGAAGAGTCAAACAGAAAACCTCTAATTATTGCTGTTGAAGGTGTTTCTAAAGCCACTGAATCAGGACGTGCTGGTCTTCTTACACTTTGACGTGACACAATGTAACATTTACTGTCATTGAACTGAGGTTGTGTTCAAGTCATTTCAGGTCTGCTGAGGAACAGACGATTAAATAAAACACGTCCTTGTACTTTTCTAACCAGGATTTATCCTCTTATACTGAAAAGCTCTCGGCTCCCACCTTGAACCTCTCCTTCCATGAAGTGCATGTTTCCATCATGTTTGTGTTGAAACAATATATCGAGTTCTTTGCACAGTTTTCATGGTTTTGATTGTAATAAGATGCTCACCATGAAACCCTGCAGAGCCTCGTCCACAGCAGAGACGAGGCAGCAGCAGCCTCGTCTCTGCTGTGGCTGAACTGAAGCCACTTTCAGTTACTGTGGGATAAATAAGTTTATTGTTGGAGAAACTATGAGCCACATTTCCTTCTGCTTCACCTCTGCTGGCGAAGCACTGTTTCCTTTTCAAAGGGGTCAAATGTTTTTCTGTGGTGTGCAGTTTTTTGTCTTTAGCGGTGAAACATCGATGAGGCTCCACAGGGCGCCGTCTTTCTTTGTGTTGAACTTGATGCCACTTTAAAAGAAGACTGCAACCCCCTGATGTTGTGAGCACAACAGAAAGATCAGTGAATAAATTAAGAAGTCTTCAGGTTCTGAAAACTTAATGTTGGACCCTAACAAGTATTGTTAGCTGCTGACATCATAAACACCGAAGTGCGCGTGCTGTGAGCGCCGACTTTTAAGCGCGTCAGTGTTTTCTGGCAGAAAGTCGCAGAAATGACACTCAGCCTGAAGACGAGAGAATCAGAGAGCGTTTGTTTGCAGGGAGCTCAGCACTGACTTTATATTGCATCCACATTGTTACTGAGGGGGACAAGGTTACTTCATGGTTGCTGTTTCACGTCCCCAGTTTTCCTCAGATGTGACACTTCCCTGGAAAGAAAAACTTGAAATCCATATTACATGAGCACAAACACACTTTCAGCAGTTTCTTTTTATTCACAGTATTTCTTTTGAAAGCCTCGCAGCCCTTTACTTAAAACTAGCCAACACAAGCTTTTTGGTTGCCAAAAGAAGAAGCCCCCCCCCCCCTGTGAAGTGTTTTAAAGCGCCCGTCTACAGGAGCAGACGAGAGCAGACTGCAGCATTTGGAGCATCGCTGCTTTCTTTTCTTTCTCGTCACACAGAGGACAGCACCTCCCCAGACACCTCCCTCTCCCTCCGCTCAGCTCGTTCTACATCCATGACAGAGAAGAGAGGCTCCTGGGCCGCGGCTGAATCCTGCCGTTGTTTAGCAGCAGTGAAGGGCGTCTTCACGAACGTCTCAGAGAAGCGTCTCTTCACCTCCGGGTCGGGGCAGAACAGGTACTCATACAGAGCTGCAGCCAGCGTGCCGCCCATTGACGGACCCACCCAGTACACCTGGCACATGGAAACACAGAACACACAGGTGAACCCGAGGATGCTGCAACGAAGGTCTACGCTTTCATCTCAGTAGAGCTCGGGGACTTTTAAACACAAACCAAGACAACAAAGAAGTTTTCAAATCAAAGTAATAAATTTACAAGAGAAACTTTAGTAAAGGAAGGATGTTTCCAATTCACATATTTAACTCCTGAAGTGCTGAGATCAGAGATCACGTTGGAAACAAAGTCATAGGATCAACTAAATTAAATGTTTGTACCAAATTCAGAGAAAAACAGTTGCTGAGATATGAGATATATCCTTCTCTTTACGTTTCCTTCTTACTTTATCAGTCATTAAGTGCTTTCTCTTCTTTTTTAGTAAATAACAAATCAAACTTTGTGTAAACGCCACGATGTGCTGCTGCATCACCGTCTCAGCTCACAGAACAGCACAGAAACACTGGAGCAGAGATTTGTTATAGAAAAGGAAAAAGCAGAATAAATAATGAGACGTTGGTTTTCCTGCACACTCACTGAGCATCTAAGGAAAGTGTCGGCAGCCCATCATCGCCTGAACCAGCCACTGATGTGAGTGAAGATAAGGATAGAAAGACAAAAAGGACAAAGTGGTGCTAACAGCTGAGAGCGCATCATCTGCACTGATGAGAATAAACATTTAAGTTATGTGACGGATCTCTGCTTGGTTATCAGGTGCTGGACGGGCAGTCAGTGTTTATTGTGATCAATGATCAATTCAAACTGATGAGAAGCTGTGCCACAAACAAAACACTTCAAATATCCGTTTACTTACAATGTTAATGTTAGAAATGACCTAAAGAGCTAAAATATGAGGATAAGAAGACATTTAAAGGCTGTGCTTGTTAAAGTAGAATTCATGACTTCTCATTGATGTTCTTCCTGCTGCTCGGCTGACGTATCCTGCAGCGCTGTGACACAGAAATATAATGATCGATCAATAATTAATCCAGCCCAGATCCTGTTTTCCACGTAGGTGGAAACAGATCAAATAAACCACTTAAGAGAAATTCTGACTTGAACTCGTTTCCAAACTTCTGGTTTTGGAGCTGCGAGCAAACATGTGCAGACTGTCTGCAGCATCTGCATCCAGCACATCATGTCCTGTTACACTGTGAATCTTTGGCTTTCTGTTCCTGCCAGCGTGGCGGTGTGGTGCAGTGGGAAGCTCGTTCTTTTGGTCAGAAGTTTGCAGAGATATTTGAAGAATAATACGGAGAAAACCGCCCAAATCAAATAACCCCTGTGAGCCGGCGCTCGGTGACGGCGGGAAGGAAAAGCTCTTTGCTAACAGGAAGCCTCCTCGGGCGGGGCCAGGCTCAGGGATGTGCAGCTGCAACCAGCTGGAGACGAGAGAAATTTACACATGAAGGCCAAAAATGTCTTTAGAACAAAGTTTGACTTTTAAACCGAGTCTAAGTGTTGCCTGGTGCAGCTGCAGGGGGGAGTGGTGCAGTGAGGGGGCGGGACCGGGAGGCAGGTGAGCCACAGGTGGTGTGATGACAGGGTCTTCTTTCTGTTTGTCTAATCAGTGACGGCAGAGAGAGCTGGACCGGACCTGTGCAGAAACATTGTAGCGCAAACTTCACAATCTCCTTCTTTGGTTTCTTCATTTTAAAAATCGCTCCTTTTAAAGTCTGAGGGGACGTGACTCATCCACACCAGAAGCTACACCTATGTTTGCTCGAAGCACTGAACTGTCTAAAGTTACAAAGTTAAAACTAAAACAGCGGCGACATCCGACTCAGCGACTGCCATGTTCAGGATGCCAGCCCCACAGCAGCAGGTACACAGGTAAAAGTGCGACGGCAGAGGAAATGAAAGAGAAAGAGTCTCCCTGTGAAACGAGACAGTGCTGTGTGAAAATGATGAGAAGCAGAAAGAATATCAAAGCCGTACAAAGGAGAGAGACTACAACAATCTCCAAGATCAAAATCTAAACAAGAAACGACTTCAAAGCTGGAAGAACACACAAAGACCCAGAATACTAACGAGGCGTCGGGGTAACAGCAGAGTTTCTCTGATTATTGTCGAAAAGAGAATTCGTCTTTGTTGTTGGAGAAAACTTTCCAAACAAAAAGCTGACATTGGCCACATTGGTGCAAAATTCACCATCACATCCAAAAACAGAATCAGCTGCAAGATGAGTTTGATATCAACACAATCTGACGGATCATCACCTCTGTTAGAGCCGATCTACAGAGAAATATTTTTGATACTGTTTCAGTTTTTATGTTACATGTTTGATTTTGTATAATATGTTGTTAGAGAATAAATGCTGCGCGTTTGTGTCGGGTAAGGAAGCATTACAGCGCATGTGTGGTAGCAGGTTAGCGTGAGCCAGGCCGGCAGTGCAAATGTGCAGAAATGTGTGTTTGTACGAGTCAGAAATAAATCTGAACAGCTCACATTGAGAAGAATTATTTTTTCAAAGCTTGGGACAGAAATTCGCCACCTCAACCTGTGATGTACGAAGCGAATCCAACAGACAAAAAAGTAATTTTTCTTATGTTCACTTATCCAAACATAATCAATCAGGTTCAGCAGTGACACAAAGGTCGTCATCACCTCGATCAGCTGAAGGTCTCTCAGTTTCGTTATGAATGTGTTGAAGTGAAAGCGCCGGCCTTCGAAGCATGTGAGCGGTCACACACGGACAGGTCTGCTGCTGACGGCCATGTTTTACAAACCAAGAACAAACTATAGTAGCAGAGGTTAAACACACAGGACAAGCTCAAAGGGAAGCAGAGCAAAGGCTGTCAGCTGTAACCTCGACGCCGTTAAACCGTCGAAGAACGATTAAAGAACAGGAAAAAACACAACACATTATAACTCATAAAGATGCAAACAGGTAAACACGATCATTCATTTGTATCTGTGTGGAGACGTCTGCAGTTTGGCTGTTGTTTCAGTTGCTATGAAGACTTCCTGTAAACAGCACTAATCAATGCAACAGTCTTGCTGCTGTGTCAGCATGCCTGCTGCTGGAAACGATGCTATAAAAACAAAGCATTGTGGACCAGACACTTAATGACCTGAAACTCCCACAAAGCTCCATAAAGCTGCAGATTCTTATTGAATTTATAACTATAACTATTTCCACACATTAACTACGTATAATTCCTGAAAATATTTGGGACTGAAATTAGTTTCAAAATGGCAAAAGCTGCACTCGCTCTGCAGCTACAGAAACCAAAGCTCTGCATTTTGAATATTGATCAAAATGTTGTTACCCAGTGGTTTTCCCAGGACCATGTGACCATCGCTGGGCCGAAGGACCGAGCAGGGTTCATACTGGCTCCAGTGAAGGGAATCTGAGGGGACAGTCACAACCAGGGCATGAACCTCACAGACGAAACAACAAGTTTGAGTTAAGGACAACTGGGCTTCGTTTAAGGAGCCTGAAGATGCTTCAGCTCTCACAAGGAGAGGTTAAAGACCTCCACCAGCTTCTAGAACTGCAGAAGCTTCCCTCCTTCCCCTCCTAACCTCATCCCTAGCTCTAAATCAAAAACAGAAAATAACAAATCCAGTTGTAAGAACATCTATTAAAATATGGCTTCAGTTCAGAAGGCGCTTCAGTTTGCAACAGGTTAGTAATTTTTCCCTGTTGCTTTTAACCCTTTTTTCCATTTCAGACAAAGATTCCAAATTTGGCACAATAATGGTTTGAAGTTTATTTTCAGGAGAAACTTTTAACACCTTTGACGCTCTGATGAGAGATTACGATATCCCAACCTCACATGTGTTTAGATTCCTGCAAATACGAAGTTTTGCAAAAACATTGTTTCCTTCATTCCCCTACCTACCTCCTAAAAATCAAGTGGATATTATTTTGGTAATAGATCCTTTTGGCAAAAGGAGAATCTCCGTCATATACAAACTGATGCAGAGCTTAAGGCCTACTACTTAGTATAAACTAAAAATAATTGGGAAAAAGACATTAGGGTGGATTGATCTGATGATGAGTGGAGATCTTGTTTGAATCGTATACATTCTTCCTCCCTTTGCATTCGCCATCATTTAATTCAGTTTAAAATTCTTCATCGTCTTCATTAAACGAGAGAGAGGCTTTCAAAGTTTTTCCCAGAAGCCGATCCCGCCTGTCCCAGGTGTGGACATAATCCAGCAAATGAGGGTCACATGATGTGTCCGAACCTGGATAATTACTGGGGAAATATATTTAAAGCATTATCTCACATCAGTGCGCAGAACTTAGTGCTTGATTTC